CCCCCCCCCTCTTCTCTCTGCTTGGCTGTCCCCATCTAGGCCCAACCAAGAGGATGGGCCGGTTCGCACGTGCCCTTTGAAAAGCGCTCCGACGGCGGAGTGGACACGCTGACCCGACCCTTTCACACGCTCGCGTGTGTTCCCCTGGTTTAAATGGTGCCACAGCGCTTCCCAGTGAGTGCTGCAGCAGAAGATGCTTCTCTCCACTCGTTGGCCACCTCCTTGATGCTGGCCAGTACTGCCCTGCAGCTAGATTTGAGGGAGTGCCCACAGGTATCCTTTCACCTGGTGCCACCACCATTTCTTTGCTGTCTAGATCCCTCTGCCATAAGAACATAAGAGACGCCAATGTTGGATCAGGCCAAAGGCCCATCCAGTCCAACACTCTGTGTCACACAGTGGCCAGAAATACCAGTGCCATCAGGAGGTCCACCAGTGGGGCCAGGACATTAGAAGCCTTCCCACTGCTGACCCCCCCAAGCACCAAGAAGACAGAGCATCACTTGCCCCAGAGCCCCTATCTATACCTTGTGGCTAATAGCCACTGATGGACCTCTGCTCCATATGCTTATCTAATTCCCTTTTGAAGCCGTCCATGCCTGTAGCCGCCACCACTTCCTGTGGCAGTGAATTCCATGTGTTAATCACGCTTTGGGTGAAGAAGGACTTCCTTTTATCCATTCTAACCCAACCACTCTGCAGTTTCATGTCCTTCAAGAGTGACAGGAGTGAAGGAAAGCATTGTTTCTTGGGGTGTGTGTGTGTTAAACCATGATCCAGTACCCCTGTTGAGTTAAAATAAAACTTCTCCTTTGACTATCCACAGCAGTAGGCTGGTTATTCAAGTTACGAGGGAAGCTCCCAGTGGGCCAGTTTCCTCAGTGGTTGCTAGTGACAGAGCGTCAGCAGAGCTAAGCCCCAGGAGCTGTGCCAGTGTTTCAGGGGCCACTCCGCTCAGACCCGGCCAGTTTTGTTGTGTCTTCTCCGCCATTGCTTTTGGTTGGTGACAGTGCTGGAGGAGGCAACAGGTGAGCTCACAGTTGTTTGGTGCGGCTGGCCAGGTCTAAGCCGAGTGGGCCTTAACAGTGCTGGCTTGTGGTGTCATGGAGTTCACTTGTCCTGGTTTGCTCCTGAATTCTTTTACCTACTGAGTCTGCCCCTGAATGTCACCCTTGGCTAGAAGGAAAAGATGAACTTTTCCTAATAAGGGTGAGACTGGCAAGACTTTCCCCTGACCGTGTCAGTTTCACCTGAGAGCCAGAAGGGGAAATTTTCATATATAGCACACACACTGACATACTTCTGTTTAAGGAAGAGAGATTAAACCATGAAAATACTGTTACCGCA